TCCTTTAATGACTAATAATGAGTTGTGCAAAAAGATCTTAATACCCCCACATGAAGGCTATTGATATTTTTAGAAAGGAAAAAAATAATAATTATACTATTTTAATGAATAGTAAAATTCTTTCTATATGTATAGTAAATTTGCTTTGGCTTTAATTTTTTCTATTTTTTATTTATATTTATTTTAAAAGAAAATTTTATTTGAAAACAAAAGGAAACTATTTCAGATATGATCAGAAATAATAGATGTCAATCCAATCCTATCTTCTTCAATATTCCATACTTCTTTCTTTATTTGTTCATGTATATAACAATTACGGATATTGATTATGCATCAAATTCAATGTACCAAACTCCAACACCTATATACTAATTTTAGATATAATATAAGAGATGTCAATTCAATTCTATCTTTAATATTCCATACCTTTTTATTTATTTATATATAAAAGTTGTAGATATTTATTATGAATCAGATTCATTTCACAATACTCCAACTACTATATATGTACAATATATTAAGATCAACATGTTAGAAAATTTGTTTTTAAAAAAATTATTAATGATAAATTAAAAGTATTGTCCACTCATTTTTAAGGTAAAAATCTTATTGGAAATTATTTTTTAATAAAAATTCTTTAACATAAGAGGCCTAGCTTGCTCTAATGCGAGCAGAATGAAGGACTAGTTATGATAGCTGAATATCACTAAGGTCCATGTTCATAAGAGGGCTAGCTTGCTCTAGCGCAAGCAGAACGAAGGACTGGTTGTGATAGCTGAATATCACTAAGGTCCATGTTCGTAAGAGGTCTAGCTTGCTCTAGTGCAAGCAAAATGAAGGACTAGTTATGATGGCTGAATATCACTAAGGTCCATGTTTGTAAGAGGCCTAGCTTGCTCTAATGCGAGCAGAATGAAGGACTAGTTATGATAGCTGAATATCACTAAGGTCCATGTTCATAAGAGGGCTAGCTTGCTCTAGCGCAAGCAGAACGAAGGACTGGTTGTGATAGCTGAATATCACTAAGGTCCATGTTCATAAGAGGGCTAGCTTGCTCTAGCGCAAGCAGAACGAAGGACTGGTTGTGATAGCTGAATATCACTAAGGTCCATGTTTGTAAGAGGCCTAGCTTGCTCTAATGCGAGCAGAATGAAGGACTAGTTATGATAGCTGAATATCACTAAGGTCCATGTTCATAAGAGGGCTAGCTTGCTCTAGCGCAAGCAGAACGAAGGACTGGTTGTGATAGCTGAATATCACTAAGGTCCATGTTCGTAAGAGGTCTAGCTTGCTCTAGTGCAAGCAAAATGAAGGACTAGTTATGATGGCTGAATATCACTAAGGTCCATGTTTGTAAGAGGCCTAGCTTGCTCTAATGCGAGCAGAATGAAGGACTAGTTATGATAGCTGAATATCACTAAGGTCCATGTTCATAAGAGGGCTAGCTTGCTCTAGCGCAAGCAGAACGAAGGACTGGTTGTGATAGCTGAATATCACTAAGGTCCATGTTCATAAGAGGGCTAGCTTGCTCTAGCGCAAGCAGAACGAAGGACTGGTTGTGATAGCTGAATATCACTAAGGTCCATGTTTGTAAGAGGCCTAGCTTGCTCTAATGCGAGCAGAATGAAGGACTAGTTATGATAGCTGAATATCACTAAGGTCCATGTTCATAAGAGGGCTAGCTTGCTCTAGCGCAAGCAGAACGAAGGACTGGTTGTGATAGCTGAATATCACTAAGGTCCATGTTCGTAAGAGGTCTAGCTTGCTCTAGTGCAAGCAAAATGAAGGACTAGTTATGATGGCTGAATATCACTAAGGTCCATGTTTGTAAGAGGCCTAGCTTGCTCTAATGCGAGCAGAATGAAGGACTAGTTATGATAGCTGAATATCACTAAGGTCCATGTTCATAAGAGGGCTAGCTTGCTCTAGCGCAAGCAGAACGAAGGACTGGTTGTGATAGCTGAATATCACTAAGGTCCATGTTCATAAGAGGGCTAGCTTGCTCTAGCGCAAGCAGAACGAAGGACTGGTTGTGATAGCTGAATATCACTAAGGTCCATGTTTGTAAGAGGCCTAGCTTGCTCTAATGCGAGCAGAATGAAGGACTAGTTATGATAGCTGAATATCACTAAGGTCCATGTTCATAAGAGGGCTAGCTTGCTCTAGCGCAAGCAGAACGAAGGACTGGTTGTGATAGCTGAATATCACTAAGGTCCATGTTCGTAAGAGGTCTAGCTTGCTCTAGTGCAAGCAAAATGAAGGACTAGTTATGATGGCTGAATATCACTAAGGTCCATGTTTGTAAGAGGCCTAGCTTGCTCTAATGCGAGCAGAATGAAGGACTAGTTATGATAGCTGAATATCACTAAGGTCCATGTTCATAAGAGGGCTAGCTTGCTCTAGCGCAAGCAGAACGAAGGACTGGTTGTGATAGCTGAATATCACTAAGGTCCATGTTCATAAGAGGGCTAGCTTGCTCTAGCGCAAGCAGAACGAAGGACTGGTTGTGATAGCTGAATATCACTAAGGTCCATGTTTGTAAGAGGCCTAGCTTGCTCTAATGCGAGCAGAATGAAGGACTAGTTATGATAGCTGAATATCACTAAGGTCCATGTTCATAAGAGGGCTAGCTTGCTCTAGCGCAAGCAGAACGAAGGACTGGTTGTGATAGCTGAATATCACTAAGGTCCATGTTCGTAAGAGGTCTAGCTTGCTCTAGTGCAAGCAAAATGAAGGACTAGTTATGATGGCTGAATATCACTAAGGTCCATGTTTGTAAGAGGCCTAGCTTGCTCTAATGCGAGCAGAATGAAGGACTAGTTATGATAGCTGAATATCACTAAGGTCCATGTTTGTAAGAGGCCTAGCTTGCTCTAATGCGAGCAGAATGAAGGACTAGTTATGATAGCTGAATATCACTAAGGTCCATGTTCATAAGAGGGCTAGCTTGCTCTAGCGCAAGCAGAACGAAGGACTGGTTGTGATAGCTGAATATCACTAAGGTCCATGTTCGTAAGAGGTCTAGAAATTCCACTTCCTGCTCCAATTGAAAAACAAACAAACCTGTTGTTCAATAACTTACTATTTCAGAAGAATGTTTCCCTATAAAAAAAAAGCGCTCGTGAAATATTTTTATTCATATAATATTATAGAAAATATTGAAATGCTCAATTAAGTTACAATTGTTCATGAGGCGACTCATTCCCACCTTTATTTACTATTCTTGTTTCATGACAGATAAATATTTTTAGCAGCACTAGTAAGAAAATTTTATTCAGTCCTGATCAAATGTTCTTGCACAATATGCTCATATTCACATGAGAAACCTCGAGATCCCGAGTTTGCAGCCTGTTTCTTCAATATCCCTTGAATTTTGCTTCATCAACTCTTCGAATGTGAACTTCCTATAAATTGATGGCTTCATTCCACTCTCTATGACAGCATCATTTCTGGGGCAATATAAATATGCCAAAGAAAGCCTTTCAACTTGTTTGGAGGCAAGTACCCGATGCCTAATGCTTTTGTAAACATCATTGCTCAATGCCTGCATTTCATCAAACACAAACATGAATTAAACATGCAACCGATATTAAAAGTTCAATTTTTAATAATTATATAAAAAAATATTCGAAATTTATGAATTTTAAATTCAATTGTGTACGTAGTTTGGATTCTATTTAAAACAAGATTTAAGTCTAATAGTTTAGTTTCGATTATATTTAAAGGATTTAAATCTTTTGGTTGGTGGTCTATTGCCAACTTTATATATTGTGGCTTGATCTCTAGAAACTTTGTTTTTTTTTTTAGACTCTTGAATTTTATTAAAAAGAATTAAGTTTTGTGGTGAATTACTTATTATTAACTTGATATATTATACTTAAAATTTCATTTATTCAATACGGGATTCACTAACAATATCTATCTATTGATTGATTCAAGACTTTTTAAATTTTAAATAATTTCTAACTATCATAATCTAATAAAAAAATCTAATTAACTAGTTAAATAATGATTTGGATTAATTAGTCTAATATTTTTTTATTTAGAAATAATTAGGATTTCACTTAATATCCCAACAGTGTAAGCAAGTCACACCAATTTTTAAATCAATGAAAGCCCTTGTATGATGGGGTCACATGCCTATTAGAGCACATGACACATCTGTTTTATCTATTTTAAATTCTTTTTCTTTTTAATATGGACATATATAAAAAGTATTGGTTTAGTTTGCGTTTTATTTTAAAAAATTAAGTTTTATGTATAGTAGATGATTCATTGTCAACATTATATATTGTTTTTCTAGAGTTTATTTATTCAATGTAGGTTATGTTTGCTAACATTCCCGGTCATTTGCAGACCATTTTTTGAAGTTCGTAGCTCTTGAAACTTTGTTTTTTAGACTCTAATATTATATTAAATAATATAATTTAGCTTGAGTTTTATAATTCCAAAAAAAAAAACAAGAAGTTGTACACTATGGGAACATACCTAAAAACAATCTAGACTCTAATAACAATCTTCACAAATTCATAGGAACATACCTGAAATAAGTCACCAAGATTAATTAGTAGAGCTTCTGGATGAGGTTTAACGCTAATCCATTCTCCATTTACCCAAAGTTGCAATCCTCCAATCTGGTCTTGAATTAATACATTGACGAAACAGCTATCGGTATGAGGCAGTATGCCAAACACCTCAGAATAGAATGGACATGGAGGATATCTGTTCATTCGAAGATAATTAGTTTCCGGCAGACAATTCTCTTGAAAGTAAGTGGAGGAAACATCCAGATTCTCAGCTAGAATCTCTGTCATCTCTTTAGCCAATTTCTCAGCTGTTGCTGCGTAAGCTTCAATGCTCTCTCTGTAAATTAAGATGAAGGAATGTTGGAAAGATTAGAAATAAGTTCAATTAAAAACAATACATGCATAACCAAATATATGTGTACAAGATATTAGGTTGTAATGACGATTTACAGTAGGAGGCACTCCCTATTGATATAGTTCATTTTCACTTAATCACCCAAGCTAAGGTAATTGGTAAACCATTGGATACACCTTGCATTTATGAGCTTATCCAGATAACCTCAAAATTAAATTAGATCGGTAAGAAATCCTTAATATGTTTAGTCCATAAGCTGCATTATTTAGCTGTAATGGGAAATTTAACAGCACCTGAGACTCTTGTTGTCACCACCAATTTTTGAAATATCTGTAAGAGGCATGTGGAAGGCCTCTGACCATGATATCTGCCTCAAACAAGTGGCTGTATGGTTACCCCATCTGTAACCATTGTTTTCAGACAAATTCAAAATGTTTTCTTCAGCCTTTTTGCTGAATGGATGATGGAAAAGCTTCCTTTGCTCCAGTTGAATGCGCTCCAAAATCTCCTGTGGAATCCCATGATTCACAACTTGAAAGAAGCCCCATTCACGAGCAGCCTTCACGTGCAGCCCGCCTTATCTCTTTTATACATTGCTCTCTTTCCGAGAAGGAGAGAGTCAAACGGTGAAGATCTATGATAGGCAGCTCATGCTCCTCGTAATAACTCATTATAACATCATCCTTGTCTTTTGATAATAGAGTACCATTGGTTAAGAGGGATTTGTATTTCTCTTCAAATGGAGGATCCATTGTTATGAAGGGGAGAGGGACGAATGAGGGTGAAGGAAAGAATGTGATGTTTCTCAGATTTTAAAAGTAAAACGAGTCATTCTTCAGTTTATATAAAGCAAGGCAACGTGGGAGTGCAGTCTAATACAAACTTCGTAATGTCATGCAAGCGCGTATTTCCTTGGGGGGTGTGGGAGCCGCTTCCATGCACCCACCGTGGCAATGTGTGACCGGACACATCGACGTCTTGATTCATCTGTTTTCGGACATAATACATCTATCTTGGACGAAAACATCGTTTCGAAAATAAAGGAAACTATTTCAGATATGACCAGACATAAGAGATGTCAATCCAATCCTATCCTCTTCATGGACCCACTGTGGCAATGTCTTATTTACTTTTTTACTCTTACATGGAATTATAGATATATTGATTATGCATGAGATTCACCTTACCATACTCTATATTGATTTTAGATATGATTAAGGGTGAAGTAAATAAAATTTCTTATCCTAGGTTATTAAAATTAATAGCAAAATTTTAATTCAAATACACTACCTAAAATATTAAAAATAAATTTGAAAATATATAAAATTAAAGTTAAAATAAAAATAAACTCACTATTAAATTTATATTTTTTTGATGTTTTGTAAAATATAATTCATCTATAATTAAATCTGAATCGATATTGTAACAACCCCTCAATCAAAATAAAATAACAATCTCACATCAACTAAAAAATAAAATAATTAAATTATTTTCTCTCTCAATTCCTCCTTTATCCACTTGATTCTTTTTTAAATTAGTATTTTATAAATTAAACTTTCTAAGTTTACAAGGTTATTCTCTCACTTTTCTTTTCTTTTTTTGAATATGTTTTTGTTTTTTTTCCCTACTTTTCTTTCTCACCTATTTTTTTTCTTTTTCTATTCTGCTTCTACCCAGTCAACAACATATAAAAGGAAGAAATAACTATTTTATTTTATTTTTTAATGTTAAATAATCATTTTACCCTTACTAAGTTGTTTTGCTTTTATTTGATGTTTTTTTGTGTTAGCATTACCAAAATCTATCATTCTAAAATTTTTACCAAAGTTTATTTAATATATTTTGAGATTCCATGTAAAATTTCAGCTCAATATGATGGTTGGATTGAAAATTATATCCAATAACGTAAAACTGGTCAAATTATAATTTTTTATTAAATTTCTGAATTTATCCAAAAATTATTAAATTTTAACCCAAGTTAAAATATCATATTAAAGGCTTCATGTAAAATTTTAGAATTTTTTAATATCTTAATTGAGAATTATAAATTTTCTTTATATAAAACTAGTTAAAAAATATTAAAAAAATCTTGACCTAGGCTAAAGCCCAACTGAGCCCATACTGCCATTGGATATAATTAAATATAAGAGATGTGAACCCATTCCTATCTTTTTTAATATTCCATATTTCTTTTCTTATTTACTTTTGTATAGAATTTTAGATATAGATCAAATCCACTTTACCATACTTTAACTACTATTTATGTACAATAGATTTGTTAGGCAAGGAAGCGTAAAAAACAATGTTACATGTGGACGTGCAATATTAATAAGTCAAAGAGTTATAATTTAGTTGTTTGATTTATAATTATTAAGAAACCCTAATATATTGATATTATTAGAGATTCTAAGGATAAATGACTGATTATGACTAGAAAAGATATTAGCACCCTTGTCGTACCATACTTGATATAAGCTATATTGTGTAGCCTAAATGTGATCTTAAGGTTTTGATGAATTCCTAACCGATAGTTTGTCTATGGTTTAGGATGAAGATTCATTCGTGTGAGTAAATTTGACATTTTGAAATTTATTATAAGCTCGTATGCTCAAATGAATTCTTATAGAAAGGTTTTTTTGCCATTCATATATTGCGATAAAAAATATTTCTAGTTAAAATTGATGAATATTTAAAATAATTTTGAGAATTTTCTGATTAACTCCTGACATTTAAATACCAACTTTCTTATAGATCCAATATTTATACCAAAATATTGACCATTAATTTCATGAAATAAAATTTATAGGAGTTATTGAAATATTGATCAAGTTCTCATGGATCTAATCAACTAATTATTAGATCTAATATGCATGATAATATATATTTTGTAAAAAAAAAAAGCTAAAACACAACATGTATTTTTATATATCTATATTTTAAACAAAAAAATGATTTTTTTAATTTTTTTTTATAGACTTGGTCGTACGCAACACACAAAAAGATATTTTCTATTATTTTCAATTATATATTTTTTAGTAAGGTCATATTTGATAACAAAAAAAACCCAATTTTTCTTGAAATAAAAACTACCCAAAACACATTCTTAAACCAAAGAAACCTTAACAGAAAAAAAAAATTTCAGCAAATCAAACAAGGCTTACTAATTGACCCAATTTTGACTCGAATAAGTTGACCCAACCAAGTTAACCTGGAAACAAACCAAAATAAAGAACCAAACTCAAAACAAATTTAGTATACGTAAATATATAAAAACTAAAAATTTCTTTAAGAAATGTACCTACACGACGTCGGGCGATGACTCCACTCTTTTTTAGTTTGTTTAACAAAAAGAATAATGTTTTTTTTATTGGTTAAGGGAAATAAAGATTTTTATTGGAATCACCATATAGTAATTTGAGGGAACTAAAAATTCAAAATTAGACACTGGTTCCAGAGATTCAGGTACTAGGTTAGTTATGATTAAGGAAAGGTAAACATCACCCTTAAAACATCCTTTTAGAGAAAGGTTACCTTTACTTGTGTGTTTTTTATTTGATTCAAATGTTATTATATTTTGAGCTTATTTGCAAATTTTTTAACATGGTTAACGCCGGTCCCTAAAAAAAATAGGAGACACGTTAAAAATGACATCAATCCCAAAAACTAAGAGACTTTGTCTAAAATATCGATGTTTGTCCCTAAAAAGAAGAGTTACGTCTGATTTACCAAAATAAATAATAATAGATATAATTCATATTCGTTATTTAAATTTTTGACATCGGTCCTTTTCTGTAAATAAAAGAGACGTGTCGACAAATAATATTTATTTTATAAAACAAAAATTATTTTGATATCATTGAGAAATGGGTATATCCATACTTGAGAATCGGGTTTTGAACCCATAAAAAGTGACATGATAAAATGGGTGTTGGACCCGCGTCGTTATTTATTTTAAATTTATTTTTGTTCATTTTTGTTTTTCATACATGCAAAAAAATTTACAAGTATTTATATATATAAATATCAAAAATACTATAAAAAATCATAAAAAATTACATGAATGTCATTGTATAAGTAAAAGACTGAAATACCCTCGGATTTCTTGAAATAGTGTGTCTCACCCGCAGTAACTGTTGGAGCCGGCGAAATTTTTCGGCCAGATTCCAGCTAAAAGATGGTTGATTTTGGTAGATCTGAGAGAGAGGATTCTAATGACGGTGGTTTTGTCTTTCGTTGATGGCTGATGAGGGAGAATCGTCGATTTGAAGCCTCAGTTGGTCGATGACAGTCGCGACCTTTTTCTGACCAGATTCGGTGGTGGAAACCCATAAAATGACCGGGATTTTTCTTCAGAGGGGACAATTCACCTTTTTGTGGTGGTTTGGCGGTTTAAAACGACCGAAAATGGAAGATCCGATGAGAGAGAGAGAATCGTCGATGAGAGGAGAGAGAGGCTTAGAGATTTTGCTATGGTGTGAACCTCGCATGGTGCACTGGTGCATCTAAAGGCTGTGAAACGTCTGATCGTATGGCTATGATTGGCTTGATCTGCAAGTTGATCGGATGGTCTGAATGGTCTGAGCTTTGTTCCGACGTGGCACGGTGTACTGAGAGTTTGGTACACCTGATGACGTGGTACAACAAGATCAAAGGGAAGATTATTTTAAAGGCTGCGATGGATTTAGGTTATAATCCAGTGTGGTAAAGCCTATTGTATCCTAAAAAATCAAAGGCCTAAATTTAAACATTATTAGATCTAATAGTTAGAATATTTTTGGTATTTTTCAACTTGTTTTTTTTTTTAAATCAATATCTTACTTGCATGAAGAAAAAGTAGAAAATAAAACAAAAGTGTCAAATAATAACACAAATAGTAAGCTTTCGAATTCAGATTTCTCTTCTTTTCTTTTCTTTTTTCTCTCCTTTTCTGGCTTAGTTTCATTGGCTATTTATAGCCAATGAAGAAGGGACATAGAATCACGGATTGTGTAAAATTTTCAAAATATAGTTGTACTGCCTACCATTGGCAAAAATCCTCCGCCTATTGTGACAAAATTATATTATTTTTTTGTTTTATTATATATAATAATAATATTTATTTATAGTGGTAAAATTAAAAACTCAAATCAGTAGTAGAAAATATTTTTCATCTGCTAAAAATCAATTTTAATTACCAAAAAAATCTTTATATGGGTATCAACTCGGTGGACCGGGTTTTTTGACCAAAAATAATAATTTTAATAAAAAATAACCTGAAACTCATTTTTTATCTCGATTAACATGGTGGGATCCATATTGACCTGGTGAACTCGGTTTTGACAAAAAATGACGGTTTTGACTCGAAACAATCTGAAACTCATTTTTCATCCCGATCGACATGGTGGTAACCATATTGACCCGGTGGACTCAGTTTTGACCAAAAATGACGGTTTTAACCCAAAACAGCTTAAAACTTATTTTTTCATCTCGGTCGACATGGTGAGACCCGTATTGACCCAGTGGACTTGATTTTGACTAAAAATGACAGTTTTGTACCGAAACGGCCTGAAACTTATTTTTTTATCCCAGTCGATATGGTTTAACCCTTATTGACCTGGTGGACTCGGTTTTGATCGAAAGATGTGATTGACTCGAGAAAATAGATTTTAAACTTTTTATTTATTTATATTTTTTTTGTTATGAATAATAAAATAAAATAACATTCGAGAAAATCTTAGTGAATCCATAATTGGGTTACAATAAGAAAGATAAA